CACCGGAGGAGGGGCCCGCGGTGGCGGGCGCCGCGGCGTCCCCTGGGGCAGGGGTCGCGCACAAGGGCAGGACGCACCGCCCCCTCCGGCTCGGGCACGGCGCTGTCCCTTTAAGACGAGCCTCCTCCCGGGGCCCAGAAGCCGTCAAGGAAGGGAAGTTATATACGTATGGAAAGAGAGAAAATTAGAACAAGCCCTGAGGTACTAGATTAGAACTGATTGTATCAATATAAACTCATGGTTTGAATGATTGACAGACAGATAATAGATATGCAAATGTGTGTATGTACATACTTACATACATACATACATACATACATACACAAACAAACTGAAAGACAGGTTCACATCTCACCCAGTGGGAAATCCTTTTCCTAGAATAAGAGATACGATAGGGTAAGTTTTGTCCTGACATACCAATCCTTAGATGAAAATATGGCAAGTCAAAATGCATTTACTACACCTAAACTACCAAACATCATAGCTTAGCCTAGCCTCCCTTAAATAGCCCCGGAGCGCTTACATTTGGGCAGTATCGGCAGTAATTACCTACTTCTTCTTCTCATCGGAATCAGGAGACGCAGTCGAGTGTTTTGTAGACACGATGGGATGTGGAAACCCGAAAAGCGATGTCCAAAAAGCGCTGCAAAGCAAAGGACCCTACGTTTCGTGGCTGTTGACTCATGTTTGTGCATCTCTAGGGAAACTGAGGATCACTATCGCTGGCCAGCACCACCACAGAATAACATACCTGATATCACTAGCCAGGAAAAGAGGAAAATTCAAAATTTAAGGTACAGTTTCCATGGAATGTGCATGGATGGGTCGAGTCACTAAGCGTAAAGCTAGAATCTGTCGAGGTTTGTTTATGCAGCACAGAGAACTTGAAGTTGTGTACTTGCTGGTAGAGATATATTCTAAGATATTCCTCTGTCGGAGTTCGTGTGTGTGTGTGTGTGTGTGTGTGCTTTTCAAGTAATCTTGTTGCATATTTTAAATTTCTGGTGATATTTATTAAAATTGAAAGTTGATGACTTAAAATTTTTCACAGGGTTGGGAAAAAGAAGAGCAAAAAGCATTTAGAAAGAAAATCCATTTCTGTGATCTACTCTACCAAATATTTGAGAAAGAATATGTGTCAGCAATCGGTCCCATTGAGTTAATGTGTAGGTGTGCGGTGGCTTGGAGACGAGGTCAAGACGCCGTGATCGTGAACAAGCCCCTGCCTACCCCAGGGTCTTATTTTCCCCACTTGGAAAATAGAGCAGTGAACTCGCTCTCTCTCAGCATGTTGTGTGATTCGGTGTATATTTGCAGAGAAGTGAAATTTAAGCATTGTCCAGCCCTAGGAGGTGGGCTCCCTTGGGGAGTTATCCTGGGCCACCTTCTCTGTACACCTCTGGGTGGTCTCATCTACTCACAGAGCGCCATCGTACTTCCAGACCACCCTGCCCTGAGGTCTGAGCATATTTAACTTGAGTGCCACAGAGATGTCATAATCGATGTGTACTAAATGCAGCTCCACATCGTCCCTCCAAACTTCCCGTGTTTCCCATTTTAGCAATTACATCACCACAACTTGGTCATGAGCCCCCCCACCCCCACCCCATCCTCCACTCGTTAAGCCCAGGCTGTTTTACTTCCGTAAATCCTGTCGTCTGGTTGTCGCTCCTGCCACACTCTGACTACCCCCCATGCAAGCCACCATCGTCTTTTACCTGGTTTGCCGCAGCTACCTGCTCACTAGTCCCTCGGCCTCGGGCTTTGCTCCTTCTCCATCTCGACCTTGCAACCAGATTATTTTAAAGTAAATCCGATCGTGTTACTTACTCCCGTTTAAATCTTTTAGGGGATCTCTATTTACCTCGGGATAAAGTCCATCTCCTTAAATTTGCTTTATAAGGCTCTCCTAATCCCGTTTTCGTTTACATCTCCAGCTGGATCTTTTACCACGGGACATTCCTCTCACCCACCCCTCCCCGAGTTCAACCCTACCTGAAATACTTTCATTTTTCTAAACGTGCCCAGTCGTCTCTAGCTTCTGCAACGCTCCTCTGCCTCCGCTTTTCCTCAGAGGTGGCTGTCTTCCCTTTTTACCTATTTACCCAAAGTGAGTGAGGGTTAGGGGCGCCATTGCCTCCCTACCTCTCCTGTGCACCCCTACCTCTCCTGTGCACCCGTAGCCCATCATCCTGCCTGAGTGTTAAATCCCACGCCTTCGCAGCGCGGGCTACATCCTCCTCGGCATTGTTACCAGTTCCTACCATGGTCCCTGGCAATACAGGTCGGAGCCCAATAACCCTTTTAGAATACACAGTGATGGACACAGGAAGCCAAAAATAATGAGTAGCCTTAGGTATCCACTAATAGATTCATTTTATAATGCTGTATTTTCAGCGTTGAATTCCACCTAGTTACAAGTTTATAACATTTTTCAAAAACATGTAATGAATTTTACTTAAACCAATGATGTTTTTGTCACAATTACTATAAATCTTTTTCTTTTCTTTTTCTTTTTTAGCAGAAATAGTGTGTGTGGTTTGTGAAGTGAAATTCTGGAACAATAGCTAGCTAGCTGTTCAATGCATAAGGGCAGAAATGTTCATTTTAAACTCAGACTCTGAAACTTTTAAAACTGAGTTGAAACTAATGCTCCAGTAATGATTGGAGGAAGGAGTGGAAGGAAAGAGCATTAAGCTCTGAGTTCCGGTTCCTTGTTTTTCACTAAATTTTAGGATAGCAATTATCAATGTGTTAAGAAATTACTCTGATACCGACTTCTTAAAAAAAAATCCTGATACTCTTAATATTTTTCTTTTGTTTACATGAGATGTCAGTGTATTGAAATTCTCATTTTCCTGGTGCTCACTTACAGCTAGCAATACTAACATATGTACATTTAGATCTTTATTATTTCTAAACACCACCCTGCCACAAACTTTCCAATAAAGTTAAACAAGAATTCTTTGTTGAGAGATGTAATATTTAGAGGGAAGGATAAGGGGATAAATCTTAACTACTACAAATTGTTTCCCTTCAGCCTTACTCTGAAGGAGATCCTTGTTGGTTTTCTCATTACTGTATAACTAGTCTGTTGACTTTGTTACACTTTGGTGGAAGGGAGTAGAATTTAGTAAGAAAGAAAAAAAAATTGAAAAGTAGGGAAGGAAAGTTTGTTTCTTTAGTAAAATAGGAAAAAAATGGATTATATAAAAGTAAAAGCAAGTAATGTATTTAAAGTGTTTAAAGCAGAGAAATATGCATTATAATTATTTACTGTTTCTACAGAAGAGTATTCTCCCAGTATGTATCATCTGTTTATAAGACACACCAAATGATGATTATAAACAAAATATAAGGGAAAAATAAATGCTGGAGAAATGGCTTCTCTTGTGTATGTGTGCTTGGATCATTTTGAGTTTAGAAAACATTTTAGACACTGGTTTAGTAAAAGTCTTATAAGTACACTTACATTTTAGTGAACTGTGTTTTTCAGTTTTTAAACCTTTTGTAAAATCTTATTTCCAATTTTTATGAAGTGCTAAAGGATTTTTTAAAAATGTTTATACCAAAACATTTTTTAAAAAAAAAACAACTTATTTTAAGAGTATCTTCACAATGAAACAGCTCATTTTAAGAGTATCTCCACAATGAAAGGTGTAGATTTTTATAATTGCCAGTCCAGTAGAGATACGTAGATAGCGATGACTAGCACATAGTCTGGTGGGAAGAGGGTGAGATTTGGAATGAAAGACTCAGGTCTAAGCTAGTTTTATACCTTCTGCAAGTTATGTCCAGGACTTAGTTTCTACATTTATAAATTGGGCAATGATTTGTCATCTTGGTCACCTCACAATGCTGATGTGAGGGTCAAGTCAAAGGAGGATAATGGATACCACTCCCTCTAACGCAATGGGCAAATAGTTACTGGGACTACAATTCTATACACTCTGCTTCGGTCTTGGAGACATTTGGTTTTCATGGAAATTATATACGAATGAAATAAATTACTTTTTCATAAACTCTGATTCCCTAAGGGGATTCGTATCCACTTGCATTTGTTTGTGGGTAATAGCTGATATTAGAGACAACTGGGACACTATATAAAAAATAATCGTTGTAGTAAGTTTACAGAAGATTCTGTTACACTCTAGATTTTGTTATGCTCTACGTATTATACTAGATGATATGTGTGTGTGTGTGTGTGTGTGTGAGTTGAGAGAGGACCTAATAAAAATAGAGAAAAAAAGGCAAATATTTAATGAAGTATATCTTGTTCAGTGCCCACTGTCAAAGGTTAAAAGAAGATATTCTTTAATGACAATATTATTTGTTATTATCGACCCATGATAAATCTAGGATAAAGTAGCAACGAGAGCACTTCTATTATCCTTGACTCCTTCACCTGAGTTTGAAATATTTGGCCAGCGGTTAATCCTACTTGCAGGTTTGACTGAGAACTTACTATGTGCAGAAAGTTATAGTATATACTCTATGGATGGTCAAATAAATACAAAGGCATTTTCTCTCAAGGAAGCTAAAGTCGAGTTGTGGGAAAGAAAAAAAAACAGAAGCCCTAACACATTTGTGAGGGAGCCTACATTCTTTTTGAGGGAAGGACAGCTGGGTGAGCAATAAATACCCCAGCTGCTTCTCTTTGCAGGCTTCTAAAAAAACCCCACCAGCAGTCAGAGGAGGTGACTCCTCCCTGAATGTGTCATCCTCACCCTCTACCGTTAGAGTCCTATTCTCTAGGGTCCTAAAGTTTTTCTTTTTAATTTATTGAGGTGACACTGGTTAATAAATTTACATAGGTTTCACATGTACAATTCAATGATACGTCATCTGTATGTTGCATTGTGTTCACCACCCAAAGTCCAATCTCCTTTCGTCACCATAGATTTGATTCCCTTTACTCTTATCTACCTCCCCCTCCTCCCTTTCCCTCTTGCAACCACTAAACTGTTGTCTGTATCTATGAGTTTTTGTTTGTTTCTCTTGTTCATTTGTTGCTTTCAGTTTTGTATCTCACATATGAGTGAAATCATACGGTTCTCAACTTTTTCTAACTTATTTCACTTAGCATAATTATCTCAAGATAAAGTTTTTAATTTTCTAAAGTTGCTCCTTAAAATCTAAATCTCCCTGAGAGGTGTAGATGGCACTTTAAGTTAACAAACACCTAAATCATCTTTTACCTGCTCAGCAAAGATTGTTCTTATCCTGCTAAGACCAAGAAAGGGAACAAGATGGATACCTAAGAGAAGAGAATGCAAACAGCAAAGGTAGAAAGAAAGAAAGGATCCAAGACCTAGCGAGGTGGAACTCAAAAAAAGGCTGTAACGGTTTTGCCTGGGAACAGTCTCTCCAGCTCCGTTTCTGTGCTGGTGGGGTGTCACGTGGCATCCAGCCTCTGCTCTCAGGCTTCCAGGAGCTGTTGGTCTGGCCCCACCTGTATTACCTGTCAGTCTTGGAATCTAGCTGAACTCAGACTAGCTTGATGGTAAACATGGTACTAGAAGAAAAACCAGTCTGAAGGTCAGACTTGAGTTTGTTGTGACTTTGAGCCATTCAGACCTTCTACAGACTTCGATTTCCACCTTTGTATGAGGAGAGAGTAGATTATATTTCTGTTCTGCTCTGGGTCTCTCCCTTGCCCTGCTAACTTCTCTCCCAACTCTTTTTACTCTAAGCTTCTACCACAGGTGGTAAAAAATGTGGCAGCTCCCAAAGCACGGAAAACAACCCAAATGCCCATGGATGAGTGGATAAACAAAAGATGGCCTATACATCCAATGGAATAGAAGGAAGGAAACTGCCACATGCTGCCACATGGATGAAACTTGAATACGTTACACTAAGCCAGTCACAAAAGGACAAATACTGCCTGATCCACTTATATGAGGTACCAAGAGTAGCCAAATTCATAGAGGCAGAAAGTAGAACAGAAGTTCCCCAGGGCTAAGTGGGAGAGGGAATGGGGAGTTATGTGTAATGGGTATGGAGTTTCAGTTTGGGGCTGATGAAAAGTTCTGGAGATGAATATTAGTGATAATTAGACAGCAACGTGACTATAATTAAGGTCACTGAACTGTACACTTAAAAATGGTTAACATGGTACATTTTATATTATGTATATATTGCCACAAAAAGTATTTTAAACCAACTAACCAACCCGGAAGCCCACAGTGGGAACCCTGGCTGAAGACCCGTTTTGTGTGATCTGCCTAATGCCTTGCCCCCGACGACGTTTCTGTACAGCTGTTTGAATTTTGACCCACCCTCAGTCTCTCCCCGTGTGACAGGGCACCCTCCAGGGCCCTCTCCAGGGGGTGCTCCTCATTCTCCCTCGACATACACACTCCTGGAGCCGGGCTGGTACCTGCATTCCCCAAGCTCTTCGCAAGCGAACCCTGCTCTGTCCCTCCGCCAGCCCTGGAGCTGTCATTCCAAGCCCAGGTCTTGCTCTCCCACTCTCGCTAGGGCTGCGGCCCAGACCACCCTCTTCTGAGGCGCATCGTGTGCAGCCCTCACCCACAGCCTCCATCCTTCCGCCGTGACTTTGATTTTATTACTCCTGCTCTTCAACCCCATGGAGACCCTATTCACCAGTCCTCTCCCCGAGCAGTCACTTCGCCCTTCGGGGGTTTCACACGGTTGTGTGGGTTGTGTGGACTGGTGCTGCTGCGCGTTGGCTTACTGTCTGCAACCACAACCAAGCCCCAGGGGAAGTTGATCAGTCCCTTTCTACAAGTCTGTTGGTGACTTCCTCTTACACTCTGTTAAATGAGACTCTCTTTGAGCCTCATTCCATATCACTTTCGGCCTCCGTAATGCCATGTAATAGAGCATCGTTCTGTCGTGTTCCAGCATAGTTCTGCATCAACGAACCTCATTTTGAACTGCCTTTCTTGCAGCCTTCTCAAGTGCTCTGCTCCCTCTGTTCCAAGTTTCTGCGCCAGGAGATCCCACTGCCTGGCGCGTTGCTGCTTTCCTCCTCTTTGTCAAACTCCTGTTGGTTCCTGAGGTCTCAGCTGGGACCTCTTCTCTAAGAAAACATTCACTGGCTCTTACCTCGGGCTGCAGGAGGGAGGCGTGCGTGCCCGCAGCACCCTCTGCTTATTCCTATTATCGTGACTGTACTACGGTTTCCCCAGAAGTGAGATTTATGAGGGCAGGGACTTTTATGGGTTATTCATTACGGCATCCTCAGAGTCTAATACAGGGCCTGACAGTAAAATGGGCCGATTAAGTCACTGAATATACTTTTAAGAATACACTGCTATAGGTTTGGTCTAATAGATGATGATTTGGCTGACAATTTTACTTCTGTGATTTTATTATATTCCTATAAATATCAAGTCATTACTTTTTACATTACCTTTTATTTTTTTGGCCCGTCAATTAGAGTTAGGTTTGGCTGCATGTAACAGAAAATCCGCAAATAACATTCACATAAACAAAATAGAAGTTTTGTTCCAATTCTGTACAAACTCAGGTACAGATGGTGTTGGGCTGATATGAGTCTCACTCCAGATCTTCAGGGATCAGTTTTCATTCAGCTTTACTTCCCCACCCCCAGGCCGTGCTCCTGTCTTTGTGCTTCAAGATGGAGGCTAGACTTGCATTCCAGGCCGCAGGGCAGAGGAAGGAATGAAGAAAGGGTGACAGCCTGCGCTCACTGTCCTTCTGGGAGTTCCTCAGAAGCTCATGTCCAACATTTTTGCTTACATGCTGTTGAGCGGACTAACCACACTTAGCCGTAAAGGAGGCTGAGATGCACAGTCTTTATTCTGAGCAGCCACGTGCCCAGCTAAAAATTCTATTGGTATGGAAGAAGCAGAGCAATGGATATTGGGGGACAAAAAGAAGGGTAGGCCACATCTGAGTTTAAGAAGAGCAAGAGATACGTTTGTCCCCCTCCCCCCACATGGGGGCGGGCGGATACGTTCCAAGACCCACAGCGCATGCCCAAAACCACAGATAGTACCAAACCTTGTATTTACTGTTTTTTCCTATACATACATACCTATGATAAAGCTTAATTTATAAATTAGGCACAGTAAGAGAGTGACACAATATCTAATAAAATAAAACGATTATTATAATTCTCTTCAGTAATTTTCACATATTTCAGTCCTAATCTATGCCTGATTCTGTTTAGCACCACGTGCAGGAATGACGCGCTGTTGCCCGTTCCAGGGGTCCCTTGCTGAAGTCTTCACAGAGGCTCAATGCTTCCAGCGCAACACGTGCCATCAACTGAAACGCATTTTCTGTTCATGTCTTTTACCCACAGATTTAGCGCGTTTTCCATCTTTTCTAAGGATTCCAAATATACTTTATTAAACTCGATTGCTGATTAGGCCCTAAGCAATTATAAAGAAATGACACAATTGATATTCAATGAGAGGTTATTTTTCTGGACATATTGACATATTAAGGTACTTTTCTTTAAAAATCTGAAGTCTACAGTAAAAATAAGTGCATGTAGACATTATTCTCTGTTTTCTGCAAGAGCTCTTGGAGAACAGGATGCCTTTTCCATCTTAACTAAGTATTTATTTATCATGCACTGTGGCCAGAACTTTTGCAGTTTGAAGTGTGACAGCAAAACTAGCACACATTTCTTTTTCCATCTTTACAATTTCATAGAAGATTCATAGATCTTACCATAGATCTTAGTGACTTTAGCACACAATTTTTTTTTTTCTTTATTAAATTGAAAACTTTTACCTTTTCACTCTAAGGAAGCACTTTACAACTTCTCTTCGGCATATCTGAATCGCCAGTATTGCTACTCTTGCGCTGTGGGGCCATTATGAAGTAAAATAAAGGTGATGTGAACACAAGCATTTGTTTGATACCTCAGTAATGGATATGGTAACTGAGACGGCTACTAAGCGACTAACAGGTAGGAAGAGTCCACAGTGTGGGGACGCTGGACAAAGGGATGAGTCACGTCCAGGGCAGGATGGAGTGGGACAGAGTGAGATTTCATCACCCTACTCAGAATAGCACAAGTTTTAAAGCTTATGAATTGTTGATTTCTGGAATTTTCTGTTTAATATTTTCAGACCACGGTTGACCGCGGTTAACTGAAACTGTGGAAAGTAAAATCTCGGATAAATGGGAACTACTGTACGTCAACATCATAATCCAGATGAATCTAGATTTCAAATGTGTTCTTCCCAACTCTTACTCTCCTCTGTTGAAAGGTCATGACATTTAGGCCCAGGAGTTTTTACACCAAGCAAGTCACTAAATTGCCAGGTTTTTTTCTATTATCAGGTAATATAAAAACCAAGTTCCTTAGGACGAGGCTCAGAGATGGAGTGAGGGAGAGTGGAGATGAAGACTGTAGGTAGAGCAAAGGGCTCGGTAATGAAGGAAGGATTTCCCTTTCACACTTCTAGTATGACCTCTGAATCTCACTGGCTGGACTCCCTTGGCTCTCTGGGGACTGTTCTATCTCTTCGCTTCACCAAGCACCTGCAGTTCCACCTCGGGAAGCTGGAGGTCTCTATTCCACCATGGGCAACTGTGGACACAGATTTAGCACCAGGTGTCAGGCTCCCATCACCCAGGGGGAGGTGTCATCAAAGGCCACAGCACAATTTCTGCCAGGGAACAGAGTGCAGATGCTGCCCACTCGGGACCCCAGTCTGCACCCCATAAACCTGCTCTTGCTTATAACCAGCCTTGTCACCCTCAGCCAAATGTCAAGCCCTTTACTCACCAATTCTTTCTTTCACTCTCGTCCCCATACTTCTCTGTGCCTCTTCCTTCCCTATCTGCTCTTTTTTCCTTCCATTATTTTTCTCCGTTCACAGTCCCTTCTCCTGTCCTCAGAAACCGCAGTTCCCCTTGTGGCTTTGTCCTGTTTTTATTCTCCAAATCGATTCCACTGTAAATCAACTTCCCCCAATCTCTAACCTCACCAGAGGGCCAGCCCTCTGACCTCTCTTCCTTAGCTGAGGATGCTCTGCCCCTGGCTCCCATCACTCCCAGCTCATAGGCTCCTCCTCTCTTCCTGAGAACTTGAGCTCCCTTACTTTGAGAAAGGGCCCCCCTTGTCTTCGCTGCTCTATCCCTTTCTTTCCTTCCATCACCAAATAAGGAAACACATAGCATCTACCGCTCCATTGTGTCACCACCGCTCCCATCTCAATTCCTTCTCATCCAGTTGGACTCGCCGCATCTTTACTAACGTGTTGACGTCATCGATGACCTCCAAATGACCTAATCCGATGAAGGCATCAGATGGTTGGACTCGCCGCATCTTTACGAAACTAACGTGTTGACGTCATCAATAACCTCCAAATGACCTAATCCGATGAAGGCATCAGATTCCTTGATTACAACATGACACCGTTGTCATTGTCTTCTCATCGAAATTTTTTCTTGCTCTCTATCACACTGCATATTCTGGTTCTTACCTTTTATGAACACTTCGATTAATAATAAAACAATGCAAATAGCTAATGCGTAGTGAGCATTAATTTTGTGTCATGCAGAATATAATGTTCTTTTTATGTATTATTTCCTTGAACCTTTGGGATTAACTCTATTACCCCCCCTTTACAGATAAGGAAACCAAGGCTTGCAGGCTTACAGAGGTAAATGATGTGCTCAAGATGAGAAAAGGAGTAAGAATTAGCGAGCTAGGTCTGTTGAATCCTAAAGCAGCACTTTTTGCCAGTGGAGCACATTGCTTCTACTCCACCTGTTGTTCTTCTTTCCCTGATTTCCCCTTAAACGATGCTTTCCCAGGATTCTGTTTGGGGCCACCTGCTCACCTGTCTATAGACATTTACTTTTACAAGGAAGTATTTGGCTTTCGTGTGGGGTGAACTCATTTATTTATGAATTTCCCATTTATTACGGAACATTTTGAACATACATGATGGCAGAGAGAATTGTGTGATGACCTCCTTTTCTCCCCGCAGGTACCAGCACACGAGCTCAACAATCATCCATTTATGGCCATTCTTGATTGATCTGTGCCCCCACCCTTCCCCATGTCTCACCCCCACCAGATTATTTTGAAGCAAATCTCAGAAATCACATCAGTTCATCTGTAAATGTTCCAGTAAATGTTTAAAAAATATAAAGATTCTTATAAAAAGCCTTAACCACAAAAACATTAATATGTCTAAAAATAAAAAAAGAATCCCTTAATATTGGCAAATATCCAATTAGATCAAATTTCCTCAATTGTTTCATAAAAATTTTAAAGGGATTGGTTTGTTCAGATTGGATCCAAATAAGGTCCACAAATATGGCACTTGGTTGAGGTGGCTCCTTACGGCTCTTTTAACCTTTAGGTTCTTTCCCCTTCTTTTTTTCCTCCTTGCAATTTACTTGTGGAAAACACCAGCTCACTTTTCCCGTATAATATCCCACATTCTGCATTTTGCTGACCACCTCCCCATGGCATTGTTTAAATGTTTGTCCCTTTACTCACCCTAATTTCCTGTAAACTGTAGTCAGATCTGGAGACGTGATCTGATTCAAGTTCACTTTTTGGTAAGATGATTTCATAGGTGAAATGATGTACTTCCATCAGGAACCTCGTTTATTCAGATAGCTTCTAAGTCTGCATTTAGCTTCATTCCTTTATTTTCAGCTAATGGTTAGGTCATTTTGCTTCATTATTCTGTCAGCATCTCAAAAACAAAATGTGTAAAAACAAATTCATATTCCCCACACGACTTTCCTTCTTGACACCTTCTCTGTTTCCACAATTTCTATTGCCCTTTTAAATCTCTTGGGCTCCAGGTCTCAGCCCACTCACTTTTCCTCAGCTCCCACATTCAGTCACGAAGACCTACCAATTACGTCTCTATAGAGTGTGAGCAGGCTTTCCTTTTGACTCTCACATCTATTACCCTATACAGGGTTTAAAAACATCACAATATTCTCCCCCCTCCGGCCTCTTTTTCTTCAATTTCATTCAATAAACTGCCACTGGATTAACCACTTAAAACATCTCATGCTCCTTCTTATGTATTTCCTACTTATGAATCATCGATGGCTACCCATTGCTTACAGAAGAAAGTCTAAACTGCTGAGAGTACTCAACACGATCTGGTCCCAGCCTACCTTTCTGGCCTACCCCACACAGTTCACCTTGCTCAGCATTAGATGTTTTTCCATAGCTGTGGACTTGAAAATGTTTAGAGCAATGCCTAGCTGACATTCGTTTTTAGTGTTGAATATTGGAGTTTCAAAGGAACAATTATCATAGCTCTAGAATAAGGCAAATCTTGTCTCTGAAGGCATTTGTCTCAAGAGACACCCGAGGAAGGGGAAGTTGCCTGTCACCCCGGTGAAACACTGTTTGCTGGCTTTCTCAACTTTCCTAATAGGATATTCACGCTGCGACCTGTTGCTCTGGTCCTAAAACATGTGACCAGCCAACAACCAGTAACAGAGAATGCCAGCCACCTGGGCTCTGCCCTCATGTCACCTGCTCTCTGGCCTCATGACAAGCCAAAAACAGAAACACCCAACAACACAAAGAACTCCCAGTTGAGAGAGGAATTTTTAGAAAAATTTCTCCAGGAGACATAATATTCATTCACTCTTCCAAGAAAATTTTAAGGTAGACCAATGAACATCTTCATCCCAGATGACCTCCAACCAAGATGCCCTTGAACATTATCCTGACTTACACTGATCTTGCCCAGGGCCAGAGCTCACTGTCTCCAGGGTGAATTTCCACATGACGCTTTCTTACAAAATTTGACAGAAAGAACTGGTACTCAAAGAGCTGGCATGCCATCCTTCATTCCAATGGAAAAGTTATATATTTATAATATTTCTTTCACTCTGGGCATCAGGAGGCTGAAAAATGATTGCAAAGCTCAGTAACTAGTTAATCCTTTTGGTTAGAAATTTTATATTTTCCCCTGGGTCCTGATTTCAGTTTCTATTTCTACTTTAATAATTTTGTATTGTTATTCATCTTATAAGCTTCTTAAAATGCAATTTGGAATGAGCCAATGTATATAGTAAGTAAATGAAATACTACCATATCCTTCTACCCAGGCAAAGTCTATTGATTTACCTCAGACAACTCCCAGTTTGCTTATTCTGTGCCTTTTAATTGGAAGGCTATCACCCAACTCTCCCACCAACCCCCTCCTCACCACGGCCTACTCATCCTGGATGTCTCTGTTCAAAGGCCCCCTCCTCCTCCATGAACGGCCCCGACTACCCCAGCATACGGCAAGCCTGCCTTCGTCTGAGAGTTGTTTTACACTACTCATTTACCACTTCTCCCACCTTATCTTTTATTGTTATTTTAGAAACTTTTTTTTAAACTTTGAAAGTGACATGTGCACACAGTAGGAAATTTAAACATACAAGAGAGGTTGCACAGGCAAAAGGTATTCTGTCATCCACAACCGCCTCAGACGCAACCACCATGGCTATATCTTTGGGTATCATTCCAGACATACCTATGCATCTACGCACATGAATGCCCGTGTAAGTACATACATACAAACATAAATATGTATATGTGTGTGTGCTGCTAAGTCCTTCCGTCCTTTTTCCCACAATTCCAAACGTAACATTTACATTCTTCTGCATCTAACTTTTTTATATAACAGTACAGTTGGAAGATTATAGCACATCAGCACATAAAAATCAACCTCAGGCTTTGTTTGATTAGTTATGGCATCAGAGTTCACATTTCTCTAATTAAATGTGCTCTTTCTGAGAGCAATGGAGGGAATATGTCTACACTTAGTGCATTCCCCACAAATCCAGAGTATGGCAACTTCCACATAGGAAAGGCTTAATAAATTACTGGTTGTCCATTTTTATCAGAAAACAGTCAAAT